ACAGGCAGTACGGGTGGCCCGAAGGGCTGTTAAAGTGTGCTGCCAGCTTTTGCATCAGTCCAGACTGCGCCAGCAAGTAACTATTATGACGTGTGCCAAGCACAGGGCCCCACAAATCGACGAATAGTCCGTCAGGGGTAACCACGCCTTGGAACTTGATCGCATGCTTCCTCTTGTGGCCATTGTAGTACCACCGTTGGAAGCGAATGGGCCTAAGAAGAGTAGACACAACAAGAACAAGCACCGACACATTAATGCAAATCCGGCGACGTGATGAAGCTGGTAATCTCTGAGGGAAATCAGCAATGGCGCGATTTGAACCATACGGAAAGCGGGCCGAAATGCAGTTGCTTGCGTACATTACAAAACTGAAACTTACAATACTTACTTGGTGAGTGCCCGCGAGTCGTACTCTGCGCATAGTATACTCTACTACTGCTGCTGCGGCCGGTTTGCGTGCCCACCCCCCATCTACGGTAAGATACCTACAGTGGAAATCGGCAATTTTTTACACGTACCTCGCAATGCCGCGGACGGTTCCATCGATGAAGCCCCAGCATTGTGTTAGAGGGCAACCGGCGTTGTATATGGCTTCGGCGAACTCCACCAACCTCGGCTTCAGTCGCTCCACGTCATCAGAGAGCAGCCAGCCCCATTTAGGGTCGAGGAAGTGCAGCATCCAATTGAACGTTTCGCAGATGCAGGACTCGCTCAGCCCGAAAACCAAGCGCATGTCTTTCAGACGGCATGGAAACGCGAGGCGATACAACAGCACGCAAAGAGCCTCTCGCCCACCCACGATAAACACACAGTCGGTCCGGATGAACGCAGGGATCAGGAGAAGTTCCAGCATCAGCATGATCTGGGACGAAGAAAAATGAGCAAAGCATGATGATTAGATAATAGACTACAGTTTCAGCAGAAGGACCACGGCTTGTGAATTCAATGCTTCTATCGCACTGCCGCTGAATACCCTGGGCAACCCTAACCCTAGGTGTGTGGTGAGAAGAGTAGTCTACTGCTGCTGCTTTGCTCGCTACAACAGTGTAAAGCTAGCAAGGTGCTTGCGAATAGGAGACAACTGGGGGGCACCTACCTGCGGTTGCGNTCAGAGAGCAGCCAGCCCCATTTAGGGTCGAGGAAGTGCAGCATCCAATTGAACGTTTCGCAGATGCAGGACTCGCTCAGCCCGAAAACCAAGCGCATGTCTTTCAGACGGCATGGAAACGCGAGGCGATACAACAGCACGCAAAGAGCCTCTCGCCCACCCACGATAAACACACAGTCGGTCCGGATGAACGCAGGGATCAGGAGAAGTTCCAGCATCAGCATGATCTGGGACGAAGAAAAATGAGCAAAGCATGATGATTAGATAATAGACTACAGTTTCAGCAGAAGGACCACGGCTTGTGAATTCAATGCTTCTATCGCACTGCCGCTGAATACCCTGGGCAACCCTAACCCTAGGTGTGTGGTGAGAAGAGTAGTCTACTGCTGCTGCTTTGCTCGCTACAACAGTGTAAAGCTAGCAAGGTGCTTGCGAATAGGAGACAACTGGGGGGCACCTACCTGCGGTTGCGTGAAGCGAAGAAAGTTTATGCAGTCTTAGGGGCTGAAGAAGTTCGTCATGTCTCGGCGTGCCAAGCTTGTTGCCACATCGTCTGTGATCAGACTCGCCATCGTGTAGTCTAGATGAAGGCCATGTTATATGCCATCCACATGTCGGTGTAGGCCTCGTACATCTGTCGGCACTGCATAGACTGTACACAAGCGCTCGTGTTTTGCGCGCCATCCTCTCATGGATGTGCAGACGTGACATGGTGGGATGACTCCAGTAGTGCTACCAGGTGTGTGGTGCTGGTGTCATGTGTCGTGTGTCTCGTTGTCTCGTTGCTCCCTGTGGCGGAGGGCCGCAGGGCCGCGCATCCTGTGCGGTGGGTCTCCCCATCAGACTGTTGTTGTTGTTGTTGTTGTTTCTCACATTAGACGTAAACCGGCCAATTAACGAACGCTTAAGCCACCCCTCGCGCCAACAGCTCGTTCTCGGGCATGAAGAGGAGTATGATGTATTTGTGGGTACCGGACGATAGCTTGTATTATANTGTTGTTGTTGTTGTTGTTTCTCACATTAGACGTAAACCGGCCAATTAACGAACGCTTAAGCCACCCCTCGCGCCAACAGC